TCTCTCTCTCTCTCTCTCTCTCTTTCTCTTTTTCTCTCGATCAGCGGAGATTTTATGAAACGCATAAATTTTCGGATCGACGACACGATATACGTATGAAACGCTGACGCAACCTCTGCGATCCGTTCGTATCTCGATTTTCAAAAAATTATGTTACACACTTGTATAAAATATCCGGCGTAAAATTAATTAACAAGCGAGAAATTTACGATCGACGACAGGAACGATGCCTCGTTTCGCAATTCACCCGGGGATTCGGTTAACCTCTCACTTTGTCGCGGCTTTCGTCGTGATCATTTGCTTCTCGCCGAGCTTAGAAAAAGAACAAGGTTCAAGGAAAATTTGTACGTATATTTTATCCGCAATTGACGACACGCAGTAAAAATTGTAATCGAATAAATAACGATGAAAAAATTGTTTTGTTATTTCTAATTAACTTTGGAAAAGAAAATTATACCAACCTGAATGGTTATAGCAACCTATTTGATCTCGTTTTGACTGTGCAAAGTTCTTTTTTTTTTCAGAGATATTTTTACATCGTGTAATTCTATTCTCAAAAACTGTTGAAAAATTCGAATTTCTTTGCTGGCTAAATTTATCATAGCTTTGAAGATTGAAATTTCCTGCTCATAATGAGCCTTTCAAACTTTCTGCACGATGTTTCCTTTCGCCATTTTATCGAAACTTTGAACATTCACTGATGAACAAACGATAAAGATCCGTGAAATTTTAAAAATTTTTAGTCGTTAATAAACCTTATTGTTAATAAAATGATGAAAAAAAGATCGCAAGAAAAGATATCAAGTGTTGAGGAAATTTTCATCTTCGAGATCACGTGAAATTTAGTCACGGGGAAGAAATTTTCCAACGTTTTGAATTCGATTTCAGAGGACAGTCGAAACAGAGACTTTAAAGTGAGAATGTCACACGATCCTGTTTTACGAAGTTACAACAATATAAAATACGAAATGCAAGATAAAAAAAAATACTTGGAAATAATTCCAAGAAAAATCATTCGTTTTATTCAAATATAAACTAACGCAGAATTCAAATAGGAGTCAAATAATCATCTTTAAAATATTCCGTTCAACTAACGCCTGCAGTCTGACTTGCCATAAATTCACGTTAAACTGAAGATATCAAAATTAAGTGCAACACTTTGGAACCTCTATCGACTATCACATTATGCATATACAGTTATGTCGGATGTCAAAACAAAATATGCAAAACACACTCAGCCAGGTATCTCGTAAACACGGAACAGCATAGTCGAGGCGTTGAGCGATTTATTCGAAAATTACCGTGTTGAAAAATTCCCGACGCACTTCGCAGCCTGACAATATCAATAACTTTCAATCGTGCGCGCGGCAAACGTGCGTTTGTAAATTTTCACCGCCGGAGCGTTTCAAATAGAGAATGAAATTTATAAAAGCCAGGTAATATATACGAGACTACGGCCGGTAATGCTGTAGCAATTCCTGATACCGGCGTGCTCGATACACGCGAATAATGAATGAACAACATTTAAAACTTCCGTTCATTACAGCGTGCATGACAGACTGCGTAAAATCAATAAACGAATGCACTCGCTGAAACAAATTATTATTACTTAATAGCTGGTGGCCAAACCGTAAATTCGATTTCCACGGATAACGGTAGGCGGATATCTCCACACTAGGGATATTTTATTCCGGCATTCT